CCGCTGCACGCGCGCCCACGAGCACGCCCCTCCGCCCCGCCCCAATCCCCGAACCTGCCCTGCTGAATGTGGAAGTCCTCAAACTGCCGACATGCAAGGATGTAGTCCGCACCCTCCAACTCGAAACCCGTCTGTGTCAGAATGTACCTCTTGGCTTGCCCCACAAGCCAAACATGGTACCGATCAACCTGGCCAGAAAAGTAGCGAACGTGTCGCCTGCGGGGGTTCAGTAAGAACCCTGCGCAGTGAGCCGGCTCAAGCATGTGCTGTGTGCGAGCCTGCACACGCCTGATGATCCGGTCGGCGAACGACTTCCCCAAAGGGGCGCATGCGTCCGTGACACGGCGGACAAGATCCTGCGTCCACTCGATCATGAGGGACATGTACTGTCCTCCACGATCCGTCCGCCTAAGCAACTCTATGATGGGCTGCATGATATGGACGATGGTGGCCACCCTCTGCCACCATGGATCCCATCTGATCTGTCGGCGCACCCAACGCGCCATGACGCACACATCGGCGGACCACGGGATGGAAGCAAAAGCCCGCGCTTCATCCCCTCGCATCATGTCCTACAGGGCCAACAGCCTCTCTATCATGGAGTAAACAGGCGCGAACCGCTCTCGCAAGAAAGAATAAGCCTCTTGTTGCGGCTGCGCGTCCTAAAAAAATGAAGGGCGGTCTGGTGGGTTTTGAAAAACACCACCAGCACACGAGCGCGTGTGATCGCGTCCACAAACGCGTCGCAACTTGTCCCCATGTCCGACAACAATTTGTTGCAGACATGGACGGAGCACGGGAGCCAAGTGATCCTCCTCAGTGCAAGAGGCATGGACGGCGAGGCCAATGCCCTTGCAACCCCCACGTAAGCAGAAGCGGAATCTGTGCATATCGCATTGACCCGCTGCGCCCTGCCGAAGCTGAACTCGTGGAAGATGGTAACCCATCTCCAAAGGACGTGCACTGCATCGTCCGACTCACCCTCTCGATTGATCGTCGTGTACACGACGACCCCTTGCGCGCCAGCGGCAAGGAAATTCACGATCGGTCTCCCGTCTCGTGATTTCCTCCCATCCAAGAGGAGGGTGGCACCAGTCACCCAGAATGGTTGCCTCACCTCCTCCAACTCCTCCGCCAGCTCCGCACGGTGGGTCTCCACCGCCCGCATACTCGCAATCTGGCAGTGGTTGGGGAGCACGGCGCGCGGGGAACTGCCACGCTGCTCAAGAAGCACCTGTTGATATGCCTTCCAAGCCTGGTTGCGGAAGGCATTGAAGGAGACCCCGTTGGAATAGAGCCAACAAAGGAATGCCTTCTTGTGGCAAGCAACCCACTCGCCACCGTAGACATCAGTCACTTTCTGCTGGCGAAGCTTCTTTCCTGTTGGGGTGGCAGCCGGATCACTTCCTCCTTCCTTCCTCTTGGAAGACCCCTCAGTTGCAGCTCCCTTGCCTGCTCGCCTCCGCCAGTCCCCCAACCTCTCCCCAGTGCCTGGATAAAACTCTGGCACGTCCTCGTGTTCCGGGACTCCCTCTTTGCACGGGCCACGCGCCTCCCGATCGATGTGGATCACGGCCTCCTCCGTCTCACTGCCTCCACCCCCCAAAGGGGGGTCTGGCGTATCATGCCCACCATCTCCCCCGACCCCTCCCTCCACCGGATGCCACCCCGCCTCTCCTCCCCTTGCACCACCCATGTCGGGCACATCGAGTCCGCGCTCCGCTGCATACCAGGCAACCCTCTCCATCTGATCGGCCTCGAACTTTTGTTGAGTATGGCGCGCGATCTCGTACAACGCCTCGTCGCTGACGTCCTTGCAGTAGTTTGTCTGCGTGAAGTGCCTCGTGGCCTGAAATTGGGTCCCTTGGAAAACTTTGTTGCAAAACGTGCAACGGAGCATCATGACCCCCTTGTTGTCGACCTTCTGGCCGACAACCAGGTACCAATACACAGGGGAGCGGGCCCTGAATGTGTCCTGCACATGGTCCGCGGCAGGCTCATGCTGGCGGCGCTGTGCCCTCCCCATGTCGACCACCCTAGAGAGACAACCCTCGCTGACTCCCCCCGACCGCACCGCTGCAACCCAACCCCCGTTAACCGCTGCCCGCCGCAGGGTCACCCTTCCCCGAACTCCCTCGCACCCCCCTCAGTACACCACCCCCCCCCCCCCCCCCCCTCGCGAGACTATCCACGCTCAGTCGCCCCACCCCCCCCTGCAATCCAACCCTCCTTGATCGCCGCCCGCCGCAGGGTCCCCCCTCAAGTGTCCCCCACCGTCTCCCCGCAACGCGAGAACCCACGTGCACGCGGCCCAACCACCTCAAACGCACCGCGGGCCCGCGCATTCAATCGCGTTCAATCGTGTTAAATCGCGTTTAACGCCGTTGAATTAAAAATTCAACGGTGTCATTCGGGACCGCGCGTGCCAATTCGCAGCCATCGCTGTGCACGCTCCTCCGCTGCTCCACCTTGGTCGTGTCAACGCCTCCGCTCCGCTGCACTCCACACTCCCTGCATTGCTCCTCGCTCCCTCTCTCTCTCGCGTGGCAGCTGTCTCCCTCTCTGTCTGTCTCTCTCTCTCTCTCTCTCTCTCTCTCTCTCTCTCTCTCTCTCTCTCTCTCTCTCTCTCT